GGTCTCCGAGAGCTGCCTCAGGAGCCCCAAATCTATTTCTTCCCCTTGGTGTGGGGGTCTGTAGCAGACCCCTTCCACCAAATCCCTTTCTCCTTGCCCCCCATGTAGCCTAACCCACAATCCTTCTACTTCCTTATCCTTGGATTCCATCTTGATGAGGGTCGATGTATATTGCTCATTGACATAGAGCGCAACCCCTCCCCCTTTTTTCCCCACCCTGTCCTTTCTGTACAATCTATAACCCTCAATATGTACCGCCCAGTCGTGGGATGAATCCACCAGGTTTCCGTTAGCCCTACTAAGTCATAGGTGTTTTGTGCAAGCAGGAGCGCTAGTTCATCCTGCTTGTTCCCCATGCTTCTAGCAGTATATAGGCACTTCAGCCCTGTGACTGGTGCCTTTGCTCCCCCCACCCACTCCGAGTCCCAAGGGGCCCCTTATTTCTTACGTTCTCGTTTCTTACCTGTGCTGTAGTGCTGGCCGCCCCACGGCTTGCAGGTTCCCAATGTTCTCTTTCTTCAGGCTGGGCTGTCCTTGTGGGTGCCACATGGTTTGTTGGTCCATAGCTTCCCCCGCCCTCATCTTCCCCTCCCCCTGGCGAGCCTAGTTTAAAGGCCTAGTTTATTCTCTGTCTCTGCATGAAGCACAGGGCAGTGAAAGTCCTAGTGTAGAGGTATGGGGTATTTTTCATTCCCCAGTTTCTGCTCTGCCCCATACCTCCTTGCTGGGACCCATGGATTGGCATGGGATGGGTCTCATTGTGGAGGTATGGGGCATTTCCTGCTTAAAGAGACATGCCTGGGAGATCATGTGGGGGGGTGGGGGGGGTCTGTAAGTGGGGAAATGCCAGCTTTTCCTTCTTACTGACATGTGCCCTCAGATTTCCCAGGGATAATCTCTGTAAACTGGGAAACCCAGGCAAGTGTTCCAGGAAACTTGAGGGACTCAATCCTGCCTGGAAATTTCTCTGGATGCATAGGACTGAGCCCCTCAAGGCTCCAGAGCAGCTGCCTTGGGTCGCTGGAGAGAACAGGCAGCTTCAGCTATCTGCATTCTCCCACCACCAGCAAACAAATGTCCACCACAAAAAAGTGCCACAATTTATTACCATATTTACTCAACTGTAAGACAACCCTGAATATAAGATGACTCCCTGCAATAAATAGATTTTATATACGGAAAATTTACCCCCCCCCCCACTCTACAACTGCTACAGTAGAGAAAGCAATGTGTGGGTATGACTCTGTGTGGGTATGACAAGGAGGCTGCTGTGGGTATGACCCAAGGCCAGAGTCAGAGCTTCAGCAACCATTTGTTCCCCCCTCCATTTTGTATGTGAATATAATAGAGGGGCCTTTTTTCTCCGTGCTGACTGGGGACAGGAAAGTTTTGTCTTATATTTAAATAAATATGGTGCTTCCTTTGTTGCCACCACAAATTTCTGTACATCTGTGTTGTAAGAAGGGTATGGTCATTTGTTTGCTCTACCCTTGTGACACCATATTCTCCTCAGGTTTTCTGATTATGAGTCAGTTTGCATCAATTTCCTACACAGTACTTTGAAGGTACAGTAATTTCTTTCTCTTCTCTGAACTATGTATATATTCTTCTGCTGGAATATTTACATTTAGGAAGACTTCAGAAAGGATTCTGGGGAAAATAGCTCCCTGAGTGAACCTACTGTGTGTGATCTGTATCCCCTAGGAAGGGCGGGAAGTTTTTCTCCACCTCACACATCATCATTGGCATTAGAGTACATTCTTGCTAATATTACATCTCTGTCTGAAGCAGCTGAGCACATATGATGACGATAAATTCCTTAATTTAACAATGTACTGTGTATTGCATGCTGCCTAACACCTGTTGAACAATGGGGATCTTCTATATTACATTAGGTATGAAACTGTTATTAGACTGGTAGCATTTAACATTGCATCACATACCTAACATCCTGTCCAAAAAAAGTAAATGAATGTCTCGAGCCTCTCCCAATGTCTTAAGTTTTATCACCCGTTCATCTTTGGAGCAAACAATTTCACAGATAGGCATCGGTGGTATACCAGCAGATGGCAAAAGGAATGCCAATATAATTGTGTGCCTTCACTCCCTTTCATTTATAAACCAGCTAGATATGATCAGTCCTACAAAATATAGTATATTCTAAACAGACTACACATAGGTGTTGCTTGTTTTCAGGCTTGTGCCTTTTGGGGGGCATGCTTTGTGTGTATTGTATTGTGTGAATGTGGGGTGTTGTCCAAGAAACTCATCACGTTATGAAGGTCTTTTTTTCTCACTGTATTCCAGCTTAGATATTTCAGTGATAAAATTGGCTAGCTTCCCTGGCCTTTCTTCTCCCATTGAATGTGGAATACAACACAGTAACCTGCTAGCATACTTTCATTAGGTTGCTAAGCCCCTTTTCCAGTCTCTAGCATCTTCCAAGGCAAACAGAAAGCAAAATAATTTGAAATTACTTCCTTTTGGAATAAAACTCTATTAAGTCACTCCCACCATTTGAACCCCTGAGGGCCTGTAAACACCACCTTCTCTATATGTATCATGAATTCACCCTCCCCCACACTTGTTATCTGCCAAAGCCAGACTTTCATTCACTTTTTCTTTCTTAAAGAATATTAAACTAGAAGTGGTTGAAAAACAAGGGGAAGAGGGTTTGTTAAGAATGAGTTTCAGGCCAGCATTTCTATTTTGAATTTGGGCTAGACTTTCTAGGATACCATTAAAGCTTGGTTTTAATTTGATTCATGAAAGTTCATGAAACCTGGGATGATCAGGGCAAGGCATTTCAGGTTCAGTGAACCAGACTTACTTGATGAAATATCATTTTGCCAGAAATATTTCTCTACAGCTTTCTATCAAACAATGATTTCAGCTCAGGTTAGAGTGTTGTTAATATAATATGTACAGGGAGGCCAGACAGCCCTCTACCATGGGCTCCAATTCTAACTGATGAGTAATCCCATATTTTCCTTTTTGATAGATTAGCACAAATAGGCAGAGTCCCTGGAATGATGACATAAACACAAGTTCAGTACTAATAGGATATGGATTAATTATTAGAAAAGAATTTTAAAAAGTGATAACAGCTTTTCTCTTCATGACACTTCTCACTTAAAAAAAATCTCACTCTAGTAGAAAGCACAGTTGCTCTGATCTTCCTCACATGCTTTCTTCATGAATCTAAATCCCTGCCTATTTAATAAGAACCAAAATCTTTAGGGCTGTTTGTGCTTGTTCCATATTCTTAGAGTCAGCTTGTACAGCAACTCCATTGCACTGTGAGAAGTATAAAATTTTCCATCAGGGCTATTTCTGTATGGTTGCTTCTGATGAATCAGTCCTAACACTTTCCATGGCCTTTTTCAGAAGAACCATAATCAGGTTCCCTTCCAAGTTCCCTTTTTTTTCCTGGAAACATCAGTATAGGTCTTGTAATGAGATAGCTTCAGTTGCTGCTCTCTTAAGGTCTCACTCTTTGTAGTCTTTGCTCCTAGCAATATTCAACAACAAAAAACAAATATACCTTTATACAAAGGCAGATAACATGGGTATTCTAATTAAAGTGCAATTCAAATTCCACTATTCATATTTTTATACTACATCAAAGATGTAATTTTAATATATTTAATATGGTAATCTTCAGCTCTTAAAGCAATATCTGTGGGAAATTATCAATAGTCTAGTGCAATGGCTCCCAACCTCAGGTCACGACCCAAATCACGGTTATAGGGTCCACCCCTCGCTCCACTCCTCCTGCCTGTGTAGGGCTCCCATGCCCCTCTCACCACCGCTGCCCTCCATCTCCTCCCCCCCCCCCCCCCCACCCCCCACCCCAGCCTAGCCCAGGATCTGCTAGTGCCACTGGGCATGAGTGAATCGGCAGCAGGGGCAGGGGTTATGACCCAGATTTAGGGTCACAGCAAAAAAAGTTTGGGAGCCACTGGTCTAGTGTGTTATTTAAAAATGACATGGGTGCCAAAGCTAACTGGAATTTAAAGAGTCTTGGAAACAAGAAATTTATTTCTTAAACACAGAGAAACTAAAAGTGATCTCTCTTTTTTCCATAGGCTATGTAACCTGTCCTTGAAGTAGTAGTATATATCAAATAAGATCAACAAGCCACTGCTGCCAGAAATAAAAGTTGTAAATGAAGAATCTCAAAAATCTAATTAATAAATTAAGGTAAAATGCAGTGAAATTCTTTTGAAGATACTGCTTGAGTTTCCAGAGTAAATATAATAGAATTAGTATGCTCTTGATTGAAATATACACATATTGATACAGGAATATAAGGACAACTTGAAGAGACTGGAGAATATATCATACAGTTACAATTACATATGTTCATTTACAAAATTAAATAGAGGAGCTAACTAAGCAAATGTAGAAAGGAGATTAAAAGTTTTAAAAAAGGGGATACATGGTAATTTCAATAGCCCAGCTAGTACCATTAGAGATGTCTTTACCCTGCCATTCAGTGATGAACCATTTTCTATCGTTGCTTGCACTAAAGTGTTTGTGAAGGATAAGTGACAGTTACAACGAAACTGTAGGAGTAGTTGAAGCTACTAAAAATATTCAGTCAGGATTGCTATTTAATGGAACTCTGCTCCATGCACGTTCCAAAGAGCAAGTTCTGGATAACAACAATTAATGTAACCAATAAGGAGATGCAACTCTTGAAAATTCAGGCCATGGGAACAATGCCCAAAGCAGCTGGTATCTCAAAACTTCTCACAGGGGCAGAGGTCAAGAACTGTAAAACTTCTCAGTAAGTAAAAAGGCTAGGAGGCAAATGAACAGAGGTGCTCATATAAGACAAAAAACAAAACAAGGTGTTCTTACTGCATGCTAATGTGTCTCGAAGAATAATGAAGATCTTGGGAGGTACGATCAAGTGCAACAACAGATTATGGTTAACCAAGGGAGCATTCCTTGGAGTGAGTACCTGAGTGCATCTACTCAAGATGTTTACTGCACAATTGACTAATTAACTGTGCAGTAAACGTCTTGACATCTACAGGTGCACCCCTATTAGGGCGTACACAACTAATACATTTTGCAACAGAGTAGTACTTGTAAAATATAGGTATTGCCCTCCTGTGGAGCTTTTTATGCACAGCAGCACACTTGTAGACACTGCCCCAGCTGGCTGGGGCATAGGGTGCTTTAGTGCAGGGCTAACCAGCAGTCAGCCCTTGAACTGAAGCACTCTTGTGCCCCAGTCAGGAACTCTGCAGCAGGTTGAGCTCAATTGGAGCAGCTCTGGGCTGGCAGGTTGACCCCCCAGATCCTCTGCCATCCCTTGGCTGCTTTGACTGTGCACACATTAATCACACATGTAGACATGCTCCCTATAACTGATAACATTGAGGGGAAAAATGCATTCTAGGAATGCCCATATTAAATAATCTATATCACATTGTGAATCCACAGTTCTTCTTGCAGAAAAGTCCAGTGCACACCTGGAGATTAATCTCTGGCCATGTCCAGATGAATGCAGCCATGCAGTATGTGGCACTGCAGACCCATAGCTGGTGCCACATACCACACATTCAGGCATTTCCTACCCTGTTACCTTGCAGTGCAGGTGAGGGGGAAGCACTGACCTCTGGAGATCTGGGGCTCAAAAAAACCCATGTAGAAAAGAAGTGGGGTAGCGCACATGGGGGCAGCATGTGCGACCCAAAACCAGAGCCTGGCTGGCAGGGGCCACACTTCAGCTGCCAGCCAGGCTTCAAGCTGCAGGAGCAATGTCGCTACAGCTCCTCCTGCTCCCAAGATCCCAGGTAAGGCTGCTGGAGTCAGCAACTGTGCCGGTCCCAGCCTCTTTTACCCAACCCTAGGTAACCTGCTGCATGCCAGAGGACACATGGCATAGGCGTTCCCCAGGGACAACTAGCAGTGGCACAAGGTGTCCCATAGCTAGTAGGGTTGTGTGAAGGTATGGTCGCTGATTCAATTTGTTGGAGATTCAACTCAATTCAGCAGCCAAATCTCTGAATCCAGATCGAATCAGGAGACCCTTTAATCTCTGTGAATTAAATTGGAACCCTCCAAATTGATTCGGAGAGATTCGGAGCAATTTGATGATTCAGACATAGACACAGCTTTAAATGTTTTTTTTCTACATACCGCAAGGTACTAGGTGGCTCATGAATGCTGAAATGCTGGGGCAGATGGAGCATCCCATGGGAGTGTTGGGGTCCCCCCAATGCACTTGGTGGTGGACCCAGAAATGGACCAGAAGCACTTGTGGTCCACTTCTAGGTCCACTGTGGAGCATTCGGGGGACCCTCCCCTTGCCCCCTGGCTCAGCGACTGGTGCCTCCTGGGTCTCTGGGGGCACCCAGGGTCCCCACACAGCCAATCATTGAGCTGGACAGGTGCAGAGCAGGGTGGGAGGATCCCCCACATGCTTGGTGGTGGACCTGGAAGTGGACCGAAAGTACTTCCAGTCCACTTTTAGGTCCACCACCAAGCAATCAGGGAGGCTCCCCCATGCTCCTGTGGGATGCTGCATCTGCCCCACCATCTCAGTGTTCATGAGCCGTGCCTGGTACCTTGAGGTATGTAGTAAAAACATTTAAAGCTGTGTCTATGGCCAAATCGCTGATTCTCTGAATCAGCATCGAAGGATTTGGCTGAATCAAACTGGGACAGTGATCCAAATCAGTGAATCAAATCACTGTCACCGAATTCAGGCCAAATCCAAGTTGAATAAGGCCTGGTTTGCACACCTCTAATAGCTAGTTGTCCCTGGGGAACCAAATGTCCATGCTCGTCTGAACGCGGCCTCTGATGTTGACTATAGGAGACTTAATCCACAAAAAGGTAGCAGTTTCCTTCCTCATTTAGGAGACCCACTGGCTTAATGTCAAAAGCCAAATATTGTAGTAGTTTGATTTAGTATATCAGTAGTATCACATTAAAGTGACATATTGGTCCACTAAACTGCATCTGCAGCTACAGTGACCAGAGGAAGGAATTTGAATCTCAGCTATTACACATTGTTTGCTGATGGTTCCAGGTAATCAAGATGAGAACCACTGTTGCCCGTGGGTTATGTGGGAAAAAAGAGAGTAATGTCTTATTCAGCATAAGCAACAAGATTGGCATATCAGGGTATCTTTTGCTGTCATTGTTTATAAAACAACCTATCACTTAACTGTCCATTACTGTCGCCATGAGGCTGTTTTTGCACTCTATAATCTTGAATTTCCCTGATGTTCCCAGCAATATCTTTGGCATCTCCATATGCAGGTGTCAGAGTAAACTCTCATATCTCTGACCTGATGATAGAATTCTAGGAAGTGGGAGAGCAAATGAGCAGGAAGCCCAGGATGCTAGGAAAAATGAGAATTTTTCTGTATAGGATGGAGAGATGGTATAAAAAAAATGACTTCTTTTTGAAGATAAATCAGCATTAATAAGAAACTAATAATTTATTTTTGTTGTTATGAAATGAGATTGTTCTTTTTTAGTGCATCAAGTGGTCTGCTCATTCACTCAAATAAAAGGCTGGGCAAACAGTGAGGAATTTCAGTAATCATCACCAAGGGGGCAGAAGAAAATTTGGAAATACCCTAGCAAATTTCTATAGCTTATAACGGGAGACTGCCTGTGAAAGAAGATTTTCAGTATGTCTTGAGGACCTTAATACAGTGCAGTCTTCAACCGAAAGTTTCTGACTCAAAGAATATGGACTCGTTAATCTAGTTGCAGATATTATCAATTGCCCCATGACTGGATAACACAGGACTTGAGTGGACAGACCAATGCAGAAATGTACTTGGATGACTAGATTCATAGAAAACCAGATTCATAGGAGCTGCAACTCTAATGAAACATTTGCTGCTCTTTTCAAAATCTTTGAATTTGAAAGCACAGACAACAGCTACACAGGTGGTAGTCTTATTTTGCATTATGCTGTTTCTCTGATCAAGGCAGGGGGAGGGGTAAGGAGGAAGTGAAGTCCTTCATGGGTGTTTATTTTAACTTGCATTTGATGATATGTTATTTGATTTCTATAAGTGGATATTAAATGTTTCTTTTAATATATATTGGAGTCCAATTTATTATACAAATATCTCAACTGGGATTATGTTCTGCACTGATGCAGGCTAAGCTTAGATTTTCTGCAGGAATTAAGTGGGGTTAAAAGAAAGAAAACAAAACAAACAACCCAAACTAAACAAAACAGAACAAAATGTCAATCAGGGGAATTTAAACCTAGAATCTCATAACTAATTCCCAGATCTAAAGGGTACTGAAGTAAAATCCCAGATCCTTTTACTGAATGAAACCTATGTAAAGATTCAAATATTGTTGCCCATGCTTATCTCTGCCTGAATTCCAATGACTCTTAATGTTTGGTTAAGATTTTCTTTGTGACTTTATATTCCCAAATCTTAAATGAAAGATAAAACTCAGTGAACGAAACTAACCAAAATAATAAAATGATTTACATAACCCCCCCCGTTGATTTGCATATTCTTCTATTTAGAGGCCCTAGTTTAATTAAATCCCTCATATTGTATTAGATTATAAACTCTTAGAAATAGGGGTGTTCCTGTATGAATACACTGAGTAATATAGTGTTACCATAAGATGTACGCTGTATATGGATGTTTAATTACAAAGCCATTAGTAATTTGCTAGTAAATTGTTAGTTAAGCTTTTCTCAAATGCCACACACAAAATCTTGTCTTGTTTTATTTACATTGCAAAAGAAAAGGGGAAAAACAAAACAAAATAAAAAAATTAGATGGTTGATTTAAGGCAACTCGATTAAAACAGTAACTCAGCCATGCTCTGGTGCATAAAACTGAAGATTTTTCAGGTACTATATGTTTCAGTGGAGATGAGGAGCAGAAGAATTGCTTTTAAACAATAGTAACTGTGTAAATGAATAACTTGTAAGGATCTCTTTAAGATGAACAATTAATATTACATGTTTCCATAACACCTAAGGCAGCATATCAAATGAGGATGAGCGATACCCAAATGTTTTGGAGCTTGATTAATGATAATCATAAAATCTATTTTCTAATTCTTTTCTAAGAAAACCTCCTTTACTGTTAAAACAAGGTTCCTATTAATTTCAGTGCAGATTTTGTGCTTGTTTGCTTGGGGTGTTTTTATGACTGATGTTCTTCTGAGAGAAGACTGTAAACCCAGATCAGTGGCAT